TTTTGGGTACCCATAAAGGCCCCGAAGTCCTTAAATAATGAGTACTTGGAGCCTTAGGGTAAGGGCTTGGGAATGTAGGGTGCAAAGTTTCGGGAAAGGGTCCGGGGCTTTCAGGGCCCACAGGGTATCCACCGTCTTGTTGCAGGCCATGAAGTTCGAGAGGTGTATGACTTGGACAAGCTTAGGGATGCGTGTAGGGTCTCCGGGTCGGAAAAGTCTTAGAGGTTCTAGGTACGTATTCAGGGCTTCTTAGAATTAGGGTCGGAGGGTTACGGGACTCTCACAGCTTTCCCAACTCTCGGCGAAGCAAGGGACATCTTGTTGACTTGGGGGGGTCGAGAATGTGTCATCTCAAGATAGTGGGCCGTGAGGTTTTGGAGCGGTTTGCGGATTGGGATACGGCTAGGAGTCATGAGGGCTAAGAATCTCGAAGGTTTTGGCCTTCCGGCTTTGCAAGAGCTTTGGTGCTTGTCGGGTCCTTAAGTTTGGGGTTTGAGCCTGCAGCCTGTCGGGACGAGGGTGAGCAAGGTTGCGGGCATGTACAGGCTCGCAGGGTTTCACAATGCCCGGTTGAATCTGCTTCTGCGGAGTGCTCCTATAACCCCCCTGTTGCCATCTTGGATTCAAAGTTCGTGATTCAGGGCTTAATTTTGGGGATGTCAGTTGGAGTTCAACGACCTTTGACACCTTCGTTGCCAAAGCTCTAAGTTTATCCATATAGTCCGGACTCCCTGATTATGCCCTTCCACCCCTCACCCAAGTCTGAAAGCCAGACTTCCCAAAGCATCTAACCGTAACCAACCGTAGCCCCACCTGTACCTTCGCGAAAGCGACAGACAGGTTCAAACAACGGCAAAAAACGCAGCACTGAAATCAACAATTCCATCAGCAAAACCCTGAAAACCTGCAACCCTAAACCCCGAAAGCCCGAACCCTGAACCCTGAACCCCTAAACCCTTAAACCCTATACACCCCAAACCCCTAAACCCTTAAACCCTAAACCCTCAACCACCGACCTGGCCCCCTGAAGCCGAGACCATGCGAAGTCTCTCTCACCAGCTTCGAACCACCCCTAACCCGCCAGGTACCTACTATATAGGGGGTACTAGAGCCCCTAGGGCCCTATATAGTAGGTACCTGGGGGGTTAGGGCACAGTTCCAAACCGAAGTCCTTAAAGAAAAAAACAACGCCTTCATGAGGCGTAGGACCCCAAAAAACCCTGAAATCCTAAATACACCGTCTACAAAAACCCTGAATTAAGACCTGAACAGCATGAAGAAAAGCCGCCCTGAGACAAGCGGCGCCCGCGCGGATTCTCCTGGTTTCGGACCAAATCCGCGCCCCAGGACTCCTCAGGTGCTGCCGTGGTATATGGGAGTTTCCGAAAATTAGGGTACCTTATTTGGGGCCCTTATAGTAAGGATCCTGCTATTTGGGGTGCTATATTAGGGTTCCCTATTTTCGGAAACCCCCCATATATGTCATGTAAAATCTAGCTCTAGCGGTTACGTGCTGCTGATTCCTTTCTGATCTTGGAAAATGTTGAGGGTGTCTTTTTTCCGGCAGAATGCCTCGGTAGTCCCTATCTGAGGCCCTATCTATGTATACATGGTAGGAAGTATATGCATGCATATAACTCTATATGTCTGTGTATGTATCTTTTTTTCTCTCGCTCTCTCTGTCTTCTTCTCCCAGGCTCCTCTCTCTCTCTCTCTCTCCCGCTCTCTCTCTCTCTCTCTGCATGTATACACACATCCTTCGCGTTTGATTTTATGGTGTGCCTCAAAACCTGGTTCTTGGTTTGCCTTTTTTTGCTTTGGGAGATGAGTCTTCGGGATCCAAGCGAAATCCCCAGAAACTCCAGCACCTGTGAATTCGACACGACAAATGTATATTATCGTCGATGAATGCATGTTCGACTATAGGATAGTCATATAGTCGGTTATTGCATAATCTACAGAACGATATTATGGTGTAGTGAACAGTATATAGTGCATATATAGTGTATATGGTATATCGGTATATAAGTCTAGATAGTACATAGTGCATAATCTATAGTATATAGGATATAGTATATAGTATATCGTATAGTACAGTATGGTATAGCATATTATGATATCTGATCTCTATACTGGCCCCTCTGAACACTAAACTCAGAGGGAGACCCCAAACCTAAGCTAACAAGAACTCATCACTTTTCGGGGGAGCTGCCCGCTCGCCCAGCCATGCACGTCCTGCATCTCAAAAAGTTCCATGCTTGACACTCACGCCTACTGTGGGGGCCTTGATAGCCCTTAATATTTACTAGTAGAACAGGGTTTGGGGGGAACAATATACTAATGTTATAATAAGAGGAACCCCCGAAAATAGCCCCTGTTACACTGCCAACCCGAAGGCTCGTGTCAGAGTTTAGCTTAGCAGTGGCAACCATGTAACGCAAGACTCTTCGGGGCTGTGCCGATCCTTGTGGCTACAACAATCAGGAGTTGAACAGGGTCGTAGACATGATGCGAACCTAAGTGTAATTTTTCTTTTAAATTCGTTTACACCCACGCCCAAGTCGTTGTATCAGGCCCCCGCCGATCATGCATTAACGGGGCTCAGGGAATGTATAAATTGAGGGGTTTTGGGGGGAGTCCGATCTGGGCTCTTCACAGCATGGACTCAACATGGACTGCTCGCTGACTGCTCAAGAAACTGCTCAAGCCCAGAACACCCCTGAGCCCAGAAACCCAGAAAACCTAAACCACTAAACGCAGAAACCTCGCACCCCCGGAAACCCTCACCCAGAAACCCTAAACACCTGAGTCCAGAAGCCAGAATCCTTAAACCTAGAAGTCCTAAACCATCCTAAACCCAAAACCCCTAAACCCCCGATCCCAGAATCCCTAAACAAACAAAACGAAACCGTAACTCTGCTGTTCACTCTACAATGATTGCGTGAGTCCCGCCGCTTCTCGGAGCGAGGCTCCGCAAAGAGCATCCAAAGAAGCCCTCACCCAGAAACCCGTTATTGCCGTAAGGAAAGTGCCGAAACGGGTCTACACCCTCCCCTTGTCGGCCACCCAGTGGGATCCAAGCCAGCCGGCAGTAATGTATGTTCGACCCCGGTTGCAAAACTAGTTTCCCAGCCCCGCCCTTGGAATGTACATTTGGAATTGCCGTACGGCCCCCGGAATGAATATATGTATATATATATATGTATATATATATATATATTCTTGGGCGTGGCCCTATTCGTTTGCAATCCCAATCCTCATGCCGCCTGTAGAACTGCAACGCGCTCAGGATTCTGAGCTAGTCACTTAGATACATAATCAACACAACTACTGTGCGCAATAGTCCATTGAGAAGTCCCTTTAGTAGCGTCTACTCTGATAAACCACAGATAGAAGGAAAACTAGCAATTCCTAAGGAAAACCCAGCGACGTCCTTGCTTGTCGACCAAAAGATCCACTCGTAGGTACCTTCGTCTGGCAGAGGTTCAGAAAGCTTATGCAATTGAATTATGGGAGTTTCCTGTCTCCAGGAGTGACGCTTTACACGGCTACGGTGTTGGGCTCTCTGAATGAGATCTGCTCTGCCAGAGCTAAAAGCCCCTGCCTTGCAGACAGTAGGCGCTTAAACCCTAAACCCCGATAAGACACCCTTAGCCTGCTCCCTAAATCCCGGATTAGGTTTCAAGATCCTTCATCTGTCATGTGGCTGTGGAATCTCACCACCTGCATCGGCTGCTGCTTCGGCGACCACCTCTTCCACCTTGAGCCACAGATACGGTTCGTTGATTTCAAAAAGCTTCTTAGGGCAAGTCTTGGGGTCGCTACCACGTTAGGGTTTTACAAGGCTTCCTTTACAGGTTCGTAAATTTGTGCTAAGTTCCTTATTCTTCGCAAAAAAATATTTAGTGGGTGGAGGTAAAGGCCATGACACGCACTGCGTTACCATAAGGTTTCGCACACAAAGCACTGAGAAGCCTCCAGCCGAAGCGGTAGAACCCAAGCACCCTGTGGTTGTTTCCTACGGGTTCAAGAGTGTTTGGAATCAAGACCTCAACGATTCAGAGCCTTTTACGGGTCTACGAGACCGTGTTTAGCGTTTTGGCAGGGTTTAGGGAAATAGCACCAATTAGCGAAAAGACTTCGATATTGAAGCCAGCAGCAGTCTCAGAAAACTTGGAACCTCGTTTGAACCCCCCCGTGTAGAACCCTGAAATGTCTTTGTAGAAGCTAGTAGAACCTGTATACAACCTTTGCACACCCATCGTAGAGCTGTTATGTAATTCATGTGCAGCCCTTGTGGAAACCAAGTGTAGCAATGTAACCCTAAACCCTTAGCTTGTAAAATGCCTGCTGCAAGCCTTGAACACAGGTACAGCCCCTTTCCCCTCGCTACTAAAATTTTATGGCATTCGTTCCGGCTTACAGTAAGGGTTTAGAGTGTCCAAGGGTTCAAGGTTTAGGGAAATCAGGACAATCTAAGACATGTAAGCAAGTTAGCAGACAAAAACCAAAAAAAACAACTCCGGCAAGAATACCCGAATAGCCCTGCCTGGGCCAAGACTAAAGGGCAGCACAAATGCCGAGGCCAACTATCCCCATCAAGCAGGCCATGCATACCACAGCCAAAATGCTGAAGGAAATTACGAAACACTTTGATCCCTGGAAGCGCTGACAAGCATGGCGTCGGCTTCTATGGTCTAGCAATTTCGGCAAAATTATGCGTTAAATTAGGATTTGGATGTTTAGGGGGTTGGGTTTTCGGCCTCGGGTGTCGAGTTTAGGGGTTTAAGGTATAGGGTTTAGATGAATCTGCTGTTCCCAAACACCTGCACATGTGTCACTCTGCAACACAACTTTTCTCCCTAACCCCCTGCTGTAAACCGAGTCCGTCGGGCCACGATGTGACCGAACGGCTGTGACTAAGCTCGTAGTATAGGTGGAAAAAAAGCCATATAGATACCAAGACGCTTTGGAGTCTTTTGAGTTGGTCCTTCTGCCTCTCATTTTCCCAGGTATCCAGCAGATGCGGCCCCGGATGCCCCAGCGTCTGTGAGCAGCCTTGCAACTGCGTGCTTGTCATGCTTTTGAGCAATTTGCAGCGGCGTGGCGCCGGTAAGTAAGCTGGCTCTGTTCACATCAGCACCAGCCTGGATCAGCAGACGAGTGCACTCAAAGTTGCCACGGCCAGCTGCCTCAAGCAAGGGCGTGAAACTGTCGGCATCAGCCCATCCCACATCGGCCCGATATGCCAGCAATAGGCTAACAGCCTCTGGGTGACCCAACTCTGCCGCCCTCAACAGTGGCGTCCTGCCTCTGGCGTCAGCCAAGTTTGTCTCTGCTCCATTTTCCAGCAACTGCCTGACGACTTCGCGGTGGCCACTTCTGCTTGCCAAGTGCAGGGACGTTTCGCCTTTGCTGTTCTTTTGGTTGGGGTCGGCCTTGGCCTTCACCAGAAATGGCACCTCGTCTGACCTGCCAGCCTGTGACATCCAATGCAAAGGGGCGCATCCCTCGGCATCGAGTGTCTTGTTCACATCAGCTGTCCTTTCTATCAGCAAGCGCGCCATGTCCATGGATTCTACATCCTGCGGATTCAGAAAGGCGTGGTGCAAAGCTGTTCGCCCAAGAGCATCAACAGCATCTAAGCTGGCTCTTGCATCCAGCAACAAACGGACCATGTACCAGTCAAGCTGTTCGGATGCGATCAGCAAGCCCGGCGCTTGATGCGAATCTGGAGACGAGCTCCAACCAGCCTTGGCTTCCAATAGCAGTCGCGCGATGTCTAAGCGACGGTTGCCCAGTGCGATCTGGAGAGCATTTGTTCCGCTTGCAGTCGCCTGATTCAAGTCTGCTTCTCCCTGGATGAGCATCTGTACCGTATCCACCTTTCCCGAGTCAGCTGCGAGAAAAAGCGGTGTTGCGTTTCGAGAGTCGGTAACATTCATAGAAGCTCGGGCTTCCAACAGAACTTGCAAAACCATCAAATGACCACAACGGCACACCCAGTGCAGGGGCGTTCTGCCATCATCACCCGGCTCGTTCACATCAATGCCTGCTTGCAGCATAAAGTTTGCGACTTCCAAGTTGCCGGGTTCGAAAGCCTCACGCTGAGCTCCGCTAATCCCTGCACCAGCTGAGATGAGCAAGCCGGCGAGCTCCAGGTTCTTTTCCTTGAGTGCACTTTGCACAGGAGTCGAACCATCTGAATCCTTAATGTCAAGCCCTGCGCGGGCCTCTATGAGCAAGCCGGCGACCTGGAGGTTCTTTTCATTGAGTGCAATATGCAGAGGAGTCGAACCGACTGAATCCTTGATGTCAAGCCCTGCGCGGGCCTCTATCAACAAAAGAGCGCATCCCGCTTTGGCAATTCGGCTGTGCAAGGCCGCCGTGCCGAATGCAGCTTTGCGCAAGGCCGTCCGGTGCTCCTAGATGTTGATTTCAAATCACTCCCAATGTTATTTATACTTAGGGTGTGGGCCAGGGTTCTCTAAAAAAGCAACAAGTGAAATAACAAACCATGCCATGCCAAATTCGTACCTGGCGGCAGTATCCTGTGCATCCGGGTCATGACCCTTCTGCAGTACGGCCTCGAGCCGGTGTACGTCACCAACGCACACGGCGCGGTGCATTTCCCGAAAATCTTGGGTAGACATCTTGGTCAAGCATGGCGTGACCACCAGCTGCAGGTCCATTGGAAAATCCAACTTGTCGTTTTCCTCTAGCACGCAACCATGGCGAACGAGCGACTGTCTGAAGATGCCGATCCCCGTTGCCCACCTCACGCGTTCCTTCAATGCCCGCACGGCACTACCGCCAGAAGAGGTCAAAGCATCAAACTCGTCTGGCCCCAGCTCGAGGACAGATCCTCCCGACACTTGGCTAACGCACAACATGATTGGATCGTGAGTCAAGAAAAATTAACAACAAAGCCCTGAGCCTGGCGTGGCGTATGAATGGCATAGGCGTGGCATGGCATGTGCATGCGTGCCTGTATTGCAGTGTATGCCTATGCGTGTTTGTATAAAAAGATGTATGTACAGACCCGCGTATGTCTGCAAGCATGCTATATAGTTGTAGGTGCATACGTAGGTAGGTAGGTATCATCAAGTAACAATGTATGTGAGTAAGCTCGCACGCAAAGTACGAATGCCCTCTTACATGGGTATGTATATGTGCAGATATGTGGGTGAATGATGTACTTGCACGACATCCTCTCCAATCGACGTGCGTCCAATTCTTTGTGAAATGTTCCTTGTACTTCGGTGCGTATACAAAAAGAACTTGACAATGCAATATGAATCTGAATAGAAAAAGCCCTGGACTCCCGGACCTTATACCAAACAACCCCAAACTTCAAAGAAAGAGATCCGAAGCCTACGAACCCAACACCGTATCCCAAAGCCTACCCTGCACTACCTTGTACCACCATCGCACCCCTCGACGCCCCCCCTCTCCCGCCCAAACAACGACAAGCAATGCAAAACAACGAGCCACCAGAACCCTAAACCCTAACTAAGCCCTGGGCTCCGAAGCGCTAAAAAGCAAGCAGAACATGGCGCCTTGGACCGGAGGTTCTCCTCCAACTGCCGGCGGCCCGCGGCATCTTTGGCAAGTCCCGATCGTTGGAGAGCAGAGCCTCAAGGCGTGACATTCTAAGTTTCTTTTGCCTGAGAGTGCCATGGCAATCCAAGTTTAGGGTTTAAGGGCTTTGTCAATTGGGTATGCATTCTGCAACGTAGGTCTAGGGTTTAGGTTGTTGAATTAGAATTCCATCATTTTCGGGCTTAGTGCTTAAAGTTTCGGGGTACTGGCGGTATAAGGCTAAGGTTCCCGGCTTTCAGGGGGCAGGGCAGGACGTGGCACTCACCCTCGCGCGACGAGAGTTCACCGCCAACCGCAAGGCAAACCGCAAGGGGTTGTGGAGACTTGCACATCGGATGTAAAATGGTGTGTATGTATATAGATGGATGGACGGCTGGCTGGCTGTCTACCTACCTACCGACCTACCTACCTACATTATACACACACATCCATATGTAGAACTATATCGCAAGCACTTTGGAGCAGCCACTCTACGCAACCATCCTCCTGGCGCCGAGGACCTACCGGGAATGATGGGTTCAGGGCTCAGGGTGAAAGACTCAAACCCGAATCCTAAACCTGCATGCAGGCGTCCTCGGGCTTAGAATCTCCAAAGCACCTTAAAGCCTAAACCCTAAACCACGCCTTAGGTTTTGTGGAATAACATTCCCCCACCAAGGTTCGTTGTTCAAGGCTGCCTGCATAGTCTGGGGTTTCGGGTTTAACTCTTCTGAGAACATACTGCCATGGGTGTAGGGTTTAGGGGATATTCCGGGTTTATAGGCGAAATACTTGCTAGACAGCAACAACTACGGTTAAGGTTGAGAGTGCAGAGTTCAGAATTGGACATGCCTACGCTGCTGGTTGGTGGGAGCAGGTACATGCTGCCAAGCTGCGGCACATGGCTTCGTTCTTGTAGCCGCCTCACTCATGAACTGAGTCTGAACCCTTCATCCATATAATCCCCAAACCCCTACGTTTGCGCTTATACAGCGATCCTAAGGCAGCCAGTCCACAGATTCTGTGAGTTATGGCCAGATCAAGTGAGCTTGTGTGCAAGTTCCGGTCGAGGAAACTTGATGGACAAGAAAGACAAGACAGAGAGAGTGCCGGTATATATATTTTCGCTGTATGGATTTATTCTAGTGCTGCTTCTGCTCCATCAATAGCGACTGCAAGCCATCAAGAACAATCATCTGACTCTTTTCCCCGAGTCCGCAAAATTGCAAATTTAGAGGAGGCATTCCGGAGATTCACTGAGGTCAGCCAAAGAGAACCGGAAACTAAACCCCAAACCATCCCGGTTTACGAACCCTACAGGCCTTCTACAAGTCATAAGCAGCCAGAAACTGTGGCTGTATCAAGGATCCTAGTCATAGTCTTCCGTGATTCAGGGATGCCTGTGGCTTAGAGTTTAGGGTTTAGACTTCTACTGCTCCTTGTTCGGGGACTCCCCTATTTCTGTGGCTGTATCCTGAAACAGAGGCACCTGTGATGGCCGGCCGGCCCAGCCGCGGGTTTCCCAGCGTCGTCCAGCCTCGGCCACGTAGCTTCCCATCGACTACCTGGGCTGTTGCTCAGGTTTAGGGTGTATAAGGCTTAGGCTTTAGGGTTAGGGTTTAGGGTTTATAGGGCTTAAGGTTTAGGGTGCTCTTGGTTTGGGGGTTTAGGGTTTAGGGTTTAAGGGATGATGTATAGAGAGGTGCCTGGAGGCTCGGGGCACTTGCAACCCGATTATGACGTTGTGACCTGAGGTATAACCAATGAGGACATATCGTAGTTGCACAAAGCACGCTTAAAGAACCCTGCTGTAAGACTCTTAGCCTAAACCGCAAACCCAAAGCATCTGGAAACAGGCCATCAGCTCCCGGCACATTGAACGTAGAGCCGAGAAGCAGTCCACCGCAGTTCACCAACCAGATCGATCTGCGGGCGGGCTTGATTTGAAGAATCTGCAACAGGTTTAAGGCGTATAACCGCAAATTCCCTGATGGCCTTGAAAAATCTCCAGCTTTGGGCTTACAGACTTACAAGGCTCATCCGGCGAGGGGTTGGGAGGCTAGTTGTCTCAGCGGGGTCCCACAAAAGAGACTGCGCTGGAGGCTGCTATCCCCTGTGCTTCTAAGTGCAGGAATGTTGTTGTGCATCAAGTACGTATGCATGTTGAAATGAGCTTAAGATTTTACATATATATATATGTGTGTGTGTGTCTTTAATATATTCATGCTATCGCTCCCTTCTGCGAAATTTGAACGATTCCGGTTCCTCCAGGCGTAGAACCGCATCTTGTGTGCACCCTAGGCATGCAGAGCAGCCTTCCCCAACAGAAAGCCCTACAACCACCACGCCCGCCGAACCCTGCACTGCGCTGCACCCTGACACAGAAAGGAAATCCCACCTTCGGAATCCCTGCGCCGAAAGAGCATCCCTTTTTAGAGGGCTGAGAAATGAATTGGTACTAACCTGGAACTCATTTATTATCAAATATAATATATATATATATTGGAATGAAAAACCCTGGTTTGACTCTGAAACCTCACAGAACCCACAGGCCTTTGCTTGGAGCAGGACGGTCACGGTCAACTCTGTAGCCTCTCCGTGGGCTCTGTTGGGTTGCCGAGAAGGGCTTTGTTTAGGGTTTCGACTCACGCACTCGCAAAGCAGGCATGGCGGTAAGCGTCCGAGATTGCTACTGGGACAGTTTAGGGTTTAGGGTCTACAGGGCTTTGGAAGGTCTTTGCCGGGTCTTTTCGGATTTTGGGGTTTAGGATCAGGTTCGGCGTTTGTTGGCTTGGCGTTCAGGCATTTACCTGCAAAGCCTAATCTGTCCTTTTCGGGGACTAACCCTTCATTTTTGAGGGGTTCCGACACGTGATTGAAGAGAAACCGCGTGACTGCAGGGGCTGCCTAGGTACCAATTATTAAGTAGGTTATAAGGTTGCCAATAGAATCTCTTTTGCGATTGAAAGGTTCAGACATGCTTTCGAGCTTGTGGTCACCTGAGTCTATGGGCTTGCTGTGTCAAGATTTGAAGCCCTTCGTCGGTCCTGCTTGCAGCGTACTTACTAACTATGTTCGCGGGACCCATTAGGTGACTATAAGCCCTATCCGGAGCCTACTTTTTTGGTAATGTAAAGTAGCCCGTGTTGCTAATAAAAGCACCTGAATCTGGGTTTACACTTTTGGAAGGAGGAGTACATATTTGCAAGATAAAGACGCCCAATGTAGAACCTTGAAAAAAAAACTTGTAAAGCGGAAGCCCACTACAAGACCCTAAACCTAAGCCCCAAATCGTAGGACCCTTCTTAGAAGGGCCCCTGAAAAGCGCCACTGAGCTTCTTGAAACTCGAGCCCTACTGCTGACCCTGGGCCGAGAAGAGCGAGTCCGACCCGGAGAACAGGTCGGGTTTGGGGGTTCTGGATGGTTCTGGTGTTTATTGCAGGGTTTAGGGTAGAGGGCTTCTGGTTTAGGATTGTTGGGTCCTACATAACTCGCGCAGCCTTTAGCATAGCATGTATGCTTTTTGCTGCCTTGTACTTCGCACAGATTTATGCTGTAGGGCTTAGGCTTAGGCCCTTGTGAGCACTGCCCGGAACCTGAACCCCAATTTGAAGAACCCGTCTCTGCAGAAAAGGTAACATACAACAGAAACGAGCACAACAGGATCGTCGCGGGGTTCGAATGCAAGACAGATTTGCCACTTTCCAAAAGCAGGACCTGAATCAAATCTCAAGTGTCGCGATCTTCAGTACAAAGAAGCCCTGCATCAAGCTACCCTATGAAGCAATCTCACGAAGCCATGTAAAATCACCCCTCTGAAACATGTAGCACCTCTTTTTCCCCCTAAACCCTGAACCCTTTTGCATCCGGTCTGCAGCGACTCTACCGGGAAAGACGCGTATCCTCGCTATCCTCGCTTTGCATAGGACAAAGAGGCCCTACACCCTAAACCCCCAAACCCTAAGCCCACCTGAACCCAAGAGGCGGCTTTCCCGTGGCCTCCTGTGGCATCTTTGGAGCCACTCGTCTCTCCAAGAAGTCTGGTACCTGCGGGAAGAGGAAAAGATGGAAGCGGGACCTACCCAAAGAGCCCACTACCCCTTAAATAAGGAATATATACCTTAAATTATAGGGGCCCTAATATTATGATTTAAGATATATTCCTTAAGTAAGGGTATTGGGCTCTCTGGGTGCATACCTTCAGGTTTAGAGATATAGTGGAGGCTTGCTTTTGTTCACTTAGGGGATGTCTAGTTCAGGGTGTAGTCGTCTACAGTCCTATTGAGTAATTCGTGAATTTGAGCAGCCATATGCAGCCATAAACCTGCAAATCCCCACGTACTTTGCTACAGAAGCTCTGCCATAAACGGCGCTAAACCCGAAGTCCTACGACATTAGACCTCGACCTATCTTACCCGCTCAACTGCGGGATGCTCATGTCGAAAAGGGCTCCTTCTGAAGCTTGGAAAAGATCATGAGAACAAGCCTGTGGAGGCCCTAGGACAAACGAGACTTAAGCCTCCTCCGGGCGCAAGCGCCGCACGGCGTAGCCACCCCAAGAGAGACCTTGCTTCACCACCACATTCCTAAGCTGAGACTTCGACACATGAGAGGCCACCTATGAAGCGTATAGAGATGAAGGGATTTTGGGTTCATGGTAGGGGCGGGTGAGCTTCATTGTAGGGTCTAGGTTTAGGGTTGGGATTTCATAGGTGGGCTCCTCTGTCGGGTTTAGATTTAGGGTTGGGACTTCATGAGGCTGAAGGCCCAGGGCTTCTGGGATTCATATCGGATGTCGAAGCCCCTGCTATCAGGGTTCGAGAAGGCTTTAAACGGAACGGATTGGGAATGAGGGGTAGTTTTGCTAGCTTGAGAAAAAAAAAGCATTCCCAACAACAACCCGAAGTAGTAGGATCCTTTCCACAGGAGCCTCCACAAGGCACCCCGACTTCCTGAAAGGCCGTCGTTTTGGACCATAAAAAACCCCACGAACCCCTCAACTGCAAAGCCCTGGCAAAGAATCGTACAAAATACTAGCAAAACCTACCCCTAAACCCTATAAACCCTAAACACCTAAACCCTAACCCCCTGAACCCCGTAAACCCTAAACCAAATTTTGGGGGTTGCCGTACAAGAGTCTCCAGGGACAACCCCTTGGACTTCGCCTCGGCGCGCAGCTCCTCACTGAGGGAGCGCGGGTCGCTGTGACCCCCTTTTTTTCGTGTCAACTAAAGGGCCCTGAGAAATAGAAACGAGCTCTGGGGGAAAATGACACTATGATTTTAATGTAAAATCATAGTATCATCTTCCCCAAGAGCTCATTCCTATTTCTTCATGGCGCGGTAATCTTTAATTGTACTGGACACCCTGACTCCTCTCATCTTGATGGAGCTTCATAAAGGGATTTCTATTATAACGCATCTTGGCTTAGGATGGAAGGTGTAGTGTATTGACCAGGCATCTAGAGTCTTGGATTTAGGGCATTTAGGGCTTCTGGCCTGTGTGCATGGTAGGGCCTCGGATCCGATGTTGCCTCGAAGCTTCAGAGGGTGGTGGTCTGTAGGCATTGTGGATTTCGGGTCGAGAAGTTTGAGGTCTTTGAGCCCATATAAACCCGGAACCCTATACTGCCCGGATTTCGGATATATGTTAAGGGTCCGTTTAGTTGAGGAGAGTCCTTCGCCCAGCAACCAGCTCGCCTTCGTACAGCGCGTTTCAGAAGGCTCACACAACCGGGCCCGGGTTGTGGGCAACTGAATCAGCTCAGATGTCAATTCGGGTGTTCCGGGCTAACCTAGACCTTGCAATGTAAAGCTCTGAATAGTCAGACCTCTAACTATTTACCCCAAACCTTATGCTGATTATCGTGGCCACTTCATTTGCCCGAACCCTCCCTCTCCCTCTTTCTCCTGTATGCCACGCACGGCCGCCTCCCTCACGCTGCTGCTTCCCGCCCGCACGCCGTTACGCGTGCGACGCAGCTGCAGAAATCTCAGTCGAAGACGGTTGCGTCCGTTCGGGTTCAGGGTTAAAGTAAGGGCTTTTCAGCTAGGCTTCGGGGCAGCTTTGCTACTGGGCAAAGTAATTCAGAGTGATAGTGTGAGAGCAGACATTACAACTAAGTCCAGCCGGCGCATTGTTGAAACCGCGGCATCAGCCGCAATATACGCCATGCAAGGGATTCAGAAAAGAAGGGACACCCAAACAACAACAGGACCGGCAAAGGAGGATGTACGGATGCCCTAGCTGGGAGCCCTCCCCAACAAGTCCACCGATTGGAAATCTGTTCCTGGAGGCTTCTGTTTCGCTGAGAACTAATATAGGCTCCAACCCTCAAGCGGCCCTAGCACTAGACACCCCTCATGCATCTGCCTGTGCAGGACCCTGCTTGCGTTGCAGTATCACCTCATTCTAGGAACCTGTTGGTACCATAAACTAGGTTGATTCTCCCAATATATACAACTATCTTGCATGGACTGGTCAATTCACGGGCAGAGTCGAGGCTCTCACTGAAGGCCTGCACACTTTCTTCATCCAAGGCCAAGGGGCTTGGTCGGTGGCATCAGCGCGCTGGTGTACCTTTTTTGGGGCGGCTTTCTAGCAAAGCCACTTTGTCGTTGTCCGGGTCTAGGGTAAGTAACCCTAAGGGGTTGGGGAGTTTAGGGCCCCCAAACCCTACTGTTACAGCTGGTTTGGGGTTGGAGAACGCAAGAGAACTTCCCACCCTTCGCACCAGGCCGCTCTGCCCTCGGGGCAGCACATCCTAGCACAAGAAGAACGACTTTTAATTCTGGTAGGAACCATATATCCCAAACAGTGTAAAGCGCGACATGAGATAAGCTGTGTCCTCGTCGTCGATTGGTTTGAGACAAGTTTTGCGAATTTGCGACTTAGGCTCAGACAAGGGACGAGGAGTGATTCGGGGGATGCGGTCAGAATGCTTCAGGACTCGAACACCGGCACCATTATTAAGGATTCTAGGAGGTGTCGGGCGTCGGAGCCTGTCGCAATTCTTCCCGGGAAGAAGGAATCAACTTCAAAGTAGTATTCAGTGGATGAAACAGGCCTTAAAGATTACCTAGCCCTCGAGCCCAGGGTTTAGAATTTAGGGCTCTTTTCATTTTTATAGGGGTGCAGTGCACATGCCCACATGCCCTATAGAACTCCAAAGCCCAGAACCCAGGCTCCACTTGAACTCGACTTGTAATGCAGGAAAACGTCGCAGTAAAGGCAATGGACCACTCAGGGAGCTAGGAACAGTGGGGGATGCAGAAGTTGCAACCTTGAGTCCTATAATACCTATAAACCCCTTTTTTGAAAGAGGTCTCTCTGAAGTGCTACCTATAAACCCTAAACCCTCAACCCAAGATACCCCTCTGTCTGAGTCGGCTTCAGGGGTTCAGAGTCGAAAGAGAGAGACCTCTGTAGAGAGCAGCCTCAGAAACCAGAAAAGCTTTCAGAAAGGATTTCATAATTCGGAAATATGGCTCCAAAACCCTATAGGCCCTAAATCAGTAAGGGGGCTTGGCCTACCGGGGTCTCTCCGCCAGCGCTCGGTCGCCTCTTCTCACTGTGGAGCTGGTCCAAGGATGCACTGGGATACAGCAGCCGACCACTGGATTTCACGGCCTGCTCACTTGCTTAGGGGCTGAGTACCCTAGTCCAAAAAAGGTTAACCTTTCAATTATGGTAGGATGGATTATATAAGCCCCAAAAAGGTTAAAGGTTACCTACTCAGCTACTAAGCTTGTGATCTTGGAGGTTCATCTTGAGGGCGACTGTATTCGGATATGTCTCCGATTGCTAACCCAAGTACCGCAAGATTTAGTGGATCACCGAAATTGCTTGAGAGCTTAGCAAGGTCAGAAATGTAGGTCGATGGTGCAATTGTAGTTGTAAACATTTTAGGCTGAGGACCTAGTATATGCATTGCTGTCGGCTATATCAACCAAGCCATCCAACTCAAACCCGAAACCGGAAACCCTTAAACCCAAACTAGAACAACCAGCCCATTCACATCCCTTTTCGGATGGTGCCGCCTGAAAGTGTCCCAACCACGGCCCCGCCCTGAACCCTGCAATCCCAACATATTCAGCCCCAAAGTCCACCACGAACCACGCATGAGAGATGCAGAAAATCATGAACCCCGTGACCCACGAGACTTATAGAAAATCTTGTAACCCCCAATGGAAATCCTTAATCCTTGAACCCTCCTAAACCCATGATCGCAAGCAAGACCTTTCATCGAAGAAGCATTTGAAAAGCGACTCCCCGAAGAGCGTTCAGGAAACCCAAAGGGAGCCCACCTCCAAGACCGGGTAGTAGTCCCAGGCTGGGATGCCTTTGGCAATGAGGCCATGTAGGGCAATGTGGGGTTCAAGACTTTGGGGCCGCTTGGGGTGTGGGACTAAGAGGTCTAGCTAGGGTTTATTTCTGGAGGTTCAGGGTCTCCGACTTAGAGCTGGGTTGAAGAAACACCTTAGACCATGGCCACGGCCGAAGTACATCCAACTGATCTCCACCAACAGCCGTCGAGCCTTGCATGTGCTCTGAACCCAATTGAGCTCAGGCGCATTCTTTCTCGTACTTGCCATGCCATGCGTGGAGCATCACCGCGGCAGGGCCCGCGATCTGCGCCAAGCCGCATTTGCAGTCTTTAACCGTTGAAGCCCAATACCCACAAACAAACCGAAGGCTTAGATCTTGAAGTGTTGCACGAAAGCCTCACCATGCTTGGCAGCTGTGCCCACTGCCAGCCACCTGGCCAACTTTGGCTTACTGGGTCGCGCTGGGCTTGAGTAACATGTCCAGCATTTCCTCGGAACTCCGTAAGTACGTAGTTGGTGACGGGGTGGTGCCGCTTGAAGGGTCTTACATTCTAAACCTGGGGCGCAGGCGCAGGAGTTGGCCACGTGCATTGCGGAATCCCCAACTTGTTGATTGGGCTATTGAGGTATGCTTTAAGTCAATCTGGGAGAGAGCGCTACGCTCCCGGGACTGGCCGGTTGCATTCTATCGAATGCACAACTGATCAGTCCAAGAACCTGTTACCCACCCACCCCCTTATCTCTGTCTGTCTATCTACACATACAGGTACCTGATGTCTCCATCCGTTTGCCCGGTATCCTCTCTGTCTATCAATCAAGCAATCGATCGATCTATCTATCTATCTCCCTCTCACTCTCTGTCTGTCTGTCTGTCCATCTGCGCGCCTGGCTGGCTGCCTGCCTGCCTGCCTGCCTGCCTGCCTGTCTGTTCTATCTGTCTGTCTATGTCTGTCCATGTCGGTCTTTGTCTCTGTCCCTGTCTGTGTGTGTGTGTGCGTCTGTGTCTACCTTTCTTCTGTACGTGTCGCTCCAAGGCTTGTTGTTTCGGCGAGTTTTGGATGTGTACATAAACGTAGACACGTCCCTTAACACACTCTAATCCACATGTCAATGGCTCCTGCTTCAGCCAACCTACAAACAACAAATCGAAAAAAATACCAAGACAGCAAGCTAATTTAAAGCCCGAGCCAAATCCTGCATTGCTACACAGCGACAGAATTGCGTAGCTGTATGCCCTGATGGTTCCTACCTGAGTATACTTCATCAATCCTATAAACACTAAGTCACTACAATACAACCTACCCATAGGCCCCTAAGTATAGTTCCTTTTATCAATCCTATAAACACTAAGTGACTACAATACAATCTACCCATAGGCCCCTAAGTAGTTCCTTTTTTTGGAATATCTTATAGGATTCTAAATATAAACCATAACAAGGAACTACTTAGGGGCCTATGGGTAAATTTCTGATCGAGTGAAGCGAGCTCGAGCTTGCGAACTGCGATCCTTCACGGGCCAGCGTCGCACCTGGGAAACGGCATCCACCAGCAGCAAAGGAACATCGGCAACATATTATTGCTATTATAGTCTATAAGTATGCTGATTTTTGTAATTCTTACCATCTTTTATTAGGTACCATTAGTAATGATAGTGGTGTTACTAATGCTTCAGGGATGTCTGGCTTTGGATTGGACTGGTATGTAGGACACTTCGCTTGCTGTACTGGGATGTGATAGGATCGTGCTGACGATGACGAAGGCTTAACATTTACAAAGCCGACTGCGTACAGGTTCCATGATGCTGCAAGTTCAAACGGCTTGAAAGCAACTGCTTCTTGTTGTTGTAACAACGGTGCTTGCCTTTTTCTGCCTTTTAGCTGTCTCCCGCCATGGCTACAACTATACGAACGAGTCCACAAAGTGATAGTTCAAAGCAGCGACCTACATTGGACAAGTCTTAGGGAGCCACAACCTTACCAGGTCTCTATATCAACTTGTCTTGATCAATCAACATCATAATTTTGATGGTTTTGATCCCCGTTGATATTCGGATAGGGAAAGGTGGTTATTAATCAGGGGCCATGACTCCAATTTCCAGTCCATCATGGACCATGGCAAAAGAAAGCGGACTTCTGTAGAACCGAAAAGGGCTTAGGACTTTCAGCATCTAGGGTCTGTTACTCGAAGGTTCCAAAGTTCCTATTCCTATGGCATAGTACAAAATAGTCATGGGGTTTCTATGTACGGAAGGCCATCATGCTGTGTGAAAGTATCTCTATACTTAGGAGGCTTCTGGGCTAGGGACCAAGGCCAAAACCCTAAACCCTAAACGCTAAACCCCTAAACCCTAAACGAAATCAGTGGCTTCAAAGGCACCTCAAAGCCTTTCTCTGATGCTGCCCGCGCCAGCATGGAGCAAAAGGCCAAACTTGTCATCTCCTGGCGGCTTGAAAGCGGCAACATCGGGAGGGCCGAGGAATGGGCCGAACAATATGGGGGGGCCTTAATGGGTAGGGTTTTGGGGCATCTTGCACTAAGAATTCAATACAATAGAGAAACCTGAGAGCAAGAGCACGTTCACCGAGCGTGTCTCATAGATTTTTGAGGCAAAGAGCTGAACAAGAGCTAATGGCTCCCAAACAGCAGCTCGCCATCGAGCATGCTGCATGCTATACCTGAAGCACCGAAGTAGGCCGACATCCCTCGAGTCAGCTGGCCGTTTTGTCTGAGTGCCTGTTTCAAAGATCGGCCAGCTGCGGTTGGCCTGATCCCTAACCAATCACCTCAAGCTCCTCCGAATTCACAGCAACCCAGCAAACCTTACCTTTCAGGGCTTGCTGGGGGAGCCCCTTGCTAAATCCGTTTAAGTTTAGGGTTTCGACTCATGCAAGGCAGGCATGGCATGTTCGGTCTGAGTTTAGGGTTTAGGGTTTTAGGGTTGGGGTTTAGGGTTCTAGGGTTTAGCCTTGTAACACCTGCCAAGCGACGCAGCAAAGTGGCTGCCGAGCCGCCAGTCTCTGAGATACCTGGCACGGACAATCACGGTCTTGCAGGGTTTCACAGAAATTCACCGGCCTTTTCATGAGGGTTTACATGGATTGATTTAGGAGCTTAGTCGATGCTGAGTGAGCTGCCGAGGTGCTCTCGGTCAACGTGTGCGGAGGACGGCAAATCAGAGCTTAAGGTTTGGGGTACAGGGTTTACTAAGCATTTTTGACCATTTCGAGCCTCAGGAAAGGCACCAAAGTCAGCAAAGAGGGCTTCCTCTCTCTTACAGGAATCACCATGAGGAACCCTATGAAAGATTAGTAACGATTTTAACAACCCCTGTAACAGCGACACTGAGAAAAGGGGTGTCGGTATGGACGGTATAGAGCATGACCCGCTCAGGTGCTTGCCTGTCCGATTTCCCAGGAGCACTGCAGTTCAGTGATGGGAGGTATCCCGGCCACCACATTGAAATGAAAGGGCTGCTACTCGACCAAAAGCAAGGGCAAGAAGACTTTATAGAGGTGCAGGATTTGGCAGCGCCCGGCTCTGGCATGTCAAGTATGTACACATAGGCTGTGGAGAGCCTGGGACTCTTCACCGAAGTCTGTAGCTCAGGCTTACACCGAAGTCCACAGGCTCCTTCCTGAAAATGCCATATACCTATAGTCTCCATTGTAGTTCCTTTTTGGGGTTACCCTTTAGGATCCTTAATATAAAATTGGTTAAACCAAAAAAAATGGAGACTATAGGTAGAATTATGTTGTGGCCATCACCGGGCTCCCATGGGTCAAGACCACACCAATGCGCTCCTGGCTCGTATTCAGGACACAGCGCCTTTTGAGGCGATCCTCCAAACCCAGCAAGCCCTGCGGCTCCAGAAGCTCCTTCAGCTCAGTACTTGCAGCCTTTACAGCGGCCTTGATTCCAAAGACCCTCAGGCCCAGGTTTTTGTCGATGCACAAGGTTACATTGTGGTCACTTGCTAGAGGCTCAAGTGATGCTTGCAGCCTCTCCACATCTGCCTCTGTGTCCAAGGACTCCCAAACCAAAACGATGTCCTCGCAGCATTGCTCTTCGAGTTCCTTCAAGAGGCTCTCCGCGAGCGCCACGGAGTCTACAGGCCCAAAAATCCGCACTTCCCGTTGCTGTCGCTCGATGTGGACTCTGCACCCACTTTCCGCCTGGATTCGTGCTAGGGCTGCCTCATTTCGCTGCACTGTACGAGTCCTCATCAGCTCTGCCCACACAGGCGCCCCGACGTTTTGTCGAAGACCACCCAGGCTTGTCAACAGTTGCTTAACCTCGGAGATGGACGACTCTGTACCGGTCACGGAAAGGCAGCCACGGGCACGATCCAGTCGCACGATGGATTGAGTAGCCTCCCGAAGTCCGCGTAACTGTTTTCGACGCCGGGGCAGGAGGCCAAACAGGTCCTCATCGAGTGGAATCTCTTCTGTGATGACAGCAATGACATCTGCATAGCCCTGACAGCCAAACTCGGTCTGAATCGCCCATGATGGCCACAACGGTGCGCTCATCTAAAGCTTCAAGAGACAACCATCGCGGCTTGCAGTTCCTTCCTGCCTCAGATGCTAAGTCCGGCAAGTCCGAGCGTTCCGTGTTGAACCATGCATAGTTCCAAGAAGAATTGAAACCTAAAACCTAAACCGTTTAGATGAAGGTAGTAGTGCTCGGCTGAAAGTTGGGGCCCTACGTAAACTCCCAGAGCCGTGTACACAAACTAACGCCACAACTGTACCCCGAACCTGCCCGGTTTTGCCGCGGGGTGCAATGTGAAACACCTCGCGAACCGGACAAGGGCTTAGCAAAGAATATAGCCGGGTGAGGCTCCACTGCAACCCTGCAACTCAAGACAACGAGACGTGACCTCAATCCTCACAACCTACACCCTAACTCTTAAATCTAAACCCCGCCTACTTATGAACATCTTGAGCAAGTCAAAGGCGCGGCAGAGGTGCGTTTTCCTTGTAATTAATCACTGCTTTTTATCTTCAGCCGGGAAGTTGGTCGTCTTATCCCGGGCCGGGGTCGTTGTAATAATTCAGGATCCTAAACCCCAAGCCCTAAACATCCCTCAATCCTAAATACTCTTCTTCTTTAGCCCCTCTAGCTGGGATCCTACTACATGGTCTCTCGCAACTTGGACCATTCAGGCGAAGCATGTTCGGTTCGGCAAGGTAGCTCCCCACTGTTTAGGGCTCGAGGGGTTTAGGGNNTTCGGGTTTTCAGGGCCTAAGGATCCTTGTCATTAGAATCCATACTGCCTTTTGA